TCGTGAATGTTTTTGTCACAATTTTAATGTGACAGAAAAGAAATACAACTGCTAACTAAGGATGCGTCAGAATTTCAGGCCACAAAAAAGGCCAAAAGCTTAAATTATACACCACTGGGTAGCTTATATATGTATATATATATATATATATATATATATAAATACACAAATACACAAATATTTTTTAAGCTAGTATTTTTTTTCTTTTTGTGTCAATTGTGTCTGTGTCTCTGTGTGTGTGGTTATGATTCAGTATTACTGTTTTTTTGTATGTACTTTTATTTATTTGTAATTATTTTATTTATCTTTATTAGTATTTTTTCCTTCCTCACTCTAGTTCGAGGTAGTTCTTGCTATTTGTTTCTGTTTGGTAATAAGTACAAATCAGTTTAAAAATTCGGAAACAATAAATGTATTGATCAACATTAAGGCAAATGAAGTTGTATTTCTGGTTGTCCGTCATTAGGGAAAAATGTCCATAGTTAATGTAATGATCTACCCCTGTGGTTATTCTGCTGGACAGCTGTGTGAACTTGATGGGAACTGACTTCAGACATTTTGACACCAGTTGGTTAAAAGTCATAAAAATGACTTCGAAAAGGGAAGTTAGTTCTGTGAAAAGGTCTCATATATTATTTGTTGGCAGATGGAACTTGACTTGGTTTTATGTTGCCGAATGCAATGAAATACATTCATTTTTATATGCTGCTTAATTCTTTTTGTGTGCTTGATATATATGTCTACAAATTACAGACATAATATTATGAAATGTGTTAATTAAAGTTATACATACATCAAAATCACAAAGACAACTGGTGCTGTTGAAACTTAAATGGTGCTTGTGATTTTTGCCATTTTTACAAAGCAAATGTGTCCATAAATACATTAAATACTGTAAAGATTTACATGCTAAGCTAGATACTAAGATATATTTATACACATTTTTCTAATGAGACATAATATTCAGTTTATGATTAAGCTAAAAATGTATTCCAGACATGTGTGAACCCATCTGAATGATCTATATCTAAAACGTTACACAGAGCTTAATATAGCAGTATTCACCATCTTATCATCTCTTTATCATATCTGGCAGGGCAAAATCACGTCATAGAGTTCAGCTTGTGCTCCATCATATAAAGTCAAACAGGTGTTTAAAGGCCTGTGGCCATTTTGTGTCTAGGACATGGATACAGCTGTTATGATGTCAATATTGACCTATTAGCTATTAATACACAGTGAAGATTCAGGAGAAGTGATTTGACTTTTCCATCTGTTATGTGTTGATTGTTGTCTATCAACAAAAATGTAAAAGGTTTGAGTAAAACAAAAGGTGAACAAGAAACGTCCTTATAGTATTCAGTATAATATATGATCCTTTCAGTTTCTTTATGATGTGAAGAAAACTTTACAGCCATATTTTTAAATGTCTTTCAGTTTTGTTATTATGACATCGCCACTCAAACTATCTATATCTTTATTGTTGATCTGATTTTTGATAAGAACACAGTCACGATTTTTAAGAGAGGTAATGTATTTATTTATAAAATTATGAATAAAATATAAAAATAGGAATCATCATTAAATCACTTGATGCACTAGATGTTACATATAATGTTATGTTCATAATAACGTTGCATGTGTCTTTCATCTGGCTTCATTTTCATGTTGAAAAACACTTGTATTATGTACAAAGTGTCTATCTTTCAATTTTGTTTTTACCGCACATCCACTATTTAACAACCCAGCATTCACTATTTCATAACCAGCATCATCATCATTATGATTAAATGTATATAAAATATGTCCTATATATTTATTCTCTCTGTATTTATGTATTTTCTGATACATTTCTGAATAATAATAATAAAGCAAAGAAAGAAAGAAAGAAAGAAAGAAAGAAAGAAAAGAATGACATTTGTATTCTTCCATTTCTTGTTTTATTTTCTTTCCAATTCCATTCAACTGTATGTGGGCATTATGAAAAACCAAGGCTTGTGGTTTTACTAACGCCAAGTTCAAAGAAGAATATGGTTTCTATAGTTGCAACCAGATTATTTTAATATATATAAAAAAATATATTCCCTTTATTGTATTGTTTTAACTCCAGAAGATGTGGCCTTTGTGTCACACAGGCACAGGTTAAACAGCGCACAAAGCACTTTCTTAAAAAGCACAGACTGCGCATTGTTTCTTTAAGACAAGCACGCGAGTATTCTCGCCAGGGGGGAACACGTCATCTTCCGGGAAACTGAGACTATACGGTAATCCTGAGACTTTCCCTTGTTTTCTAGGCTTGGGGGTGAGAAGTCAAATCACCCTTTTCCCAAAACATCACGCGTTTGAAACGAAACGTATATTGCTGGAATAATGAAAGGTCAGGATCGATATTTTGATTCGCAATTTCGGTCTGACGCATCGCATTCCAGTCAAACGTTAGTCATCGAAAACGCCTGATGATTTCTCTGTAGATGTCATTAAATCTAAAAAATCTAATGATACAGTACAGTATCTGTTAGTATACCATGTAGCACACTAGGAACACAGTCAATACCTTTACAATTTTTTATATTATCATTATTTTATTTTAATATTATTTTATTATTAAAATAATAATTTTATTATTATTTTAATTTAGGTTTTACAATTATAACAATAACTGAATTAACTATAGTATTGGATAGCATGGTCAGTTTTGTTGTATATAGTAAAATATGTAGTTCGCTATATTTTTACGTAAATATGCCCCACCCGTTTATACACATCAACCGACTGCAGTGAGAATAATATAATACCAAAAATATAAACATTATTATATGAATCCATATCAAAAGTAGCCTATCTAAATAATTTTCTAAACCATTTTGAAACCATCTTAATCATTTTGAAACTAAAATTATTGTTAAAAATGTTTGTTATAATGTGGCATGATGTAGCGATAAACATCAAACTCTGGTTTGTTATTTGTTAAGTCCTAAACTAATTACAAACATTTACGCATAAAAGTAAAAGTAGTATTTATGGTATTTGTCAAGACCCAAAAATGGGTCACGGGTCTGATGTAGAAAAATGACATACTAATATAGCTAATATTTGGCCCAGTGTTTGTTCTGTCACACTTTTGCTGTTGTTTAAGTATTTACTAAGTATTAGTTAATATTTTATAATCTTAGTTATAATTTGCATATTGTTTGGGCTATATGCAGTTCACTATAAAAAATGTCTGATTTTGAGATGTTTTGTTAACTTTTATATGATAAACCAGGTATCCTCAAATCTGGCCCACGAGATCCACTTTCCTGCAGAGTTTAGCTCTAACCTTAATCA